ATTTGACACAACAAATCAACTATTTTAATAGTTAAAATCATTGCCAACAATCACTTTCTCTCTCCAAGCTATATTCTAACAACTCTCCTCTCTCCTCCACTACAGAAGGACTATGAAAAAGAGAAATGAAGTATAGTATTAAAATATAATATTTAGAAATTACAGGGATCAATTATCTAATAACTTGAAAAAATAAAAGACTAAAATGAACATTTTGAATAAATTGCAAACTCACCATTCATTTTATTTATATATAGCTTATAGACTTTATTTTAAGATATTTTTAGTATTTGATTGATTTAAAATTTTACCTCATTACTTAAAAAAAAAACCTCTAAAAACATCTAGTAAGATATCAACTCGATTTAACAGTCAAATAAAAAAATATAATTTTTAGAATAAAACTATACAATAGAAAAAATTAATCCAAAACCTACTTTAACTTTCCTAAATAAATATGGAATTATTTGTAATAATTGTTACCTCTTATTTTCCTTGTAGAGGTGAAAACCCACAAAATATTCTATCATTAAATATCATTCCTTGTTTTCTTATGTAATTAGGATAAATAAAAAAGTTATTATAAAAAATAATTTTAAAACATTAAAAAAATTCTTACCGCATGTAAAAAATATATTTGCTGCCTATTAAGCTAAAAAACTCTAAAAAATAAGTTGTTGGATATATATAAAAAACAATTATCCCAAAATAAAAAGTTTATAAGTTAAAATACAACTGATTTATATTATAAATATTTCTTATACTCCAGTTAACATGAAATTTCAATTTAGCATAGAACAATATATGTAAGAAATCTTAATAAAATTTTAGTCGAATCCAATAATCAAATTAAAAATTATACTTGAAATTATAAAATTATAAAATAAATATAATTATATCAAAATTAAAAAATAAATATTTTTTTTGTATCTTATCATATTTTAAATTACTAAACACGTACTACTCCATGCAAAGGAATGGCAGCAACCTTCCTTGTAAACACTATATTTGCTATTTGGAAATAGTCTAGAAAAAAAAGCACTATGCAAAAGAACATTTGTCTTTGTTAAATTAAAAATAAAACTAACTATTTTTTTTTGTAAAATCTTCATGTTTCATTTATTTACTGAAAAATAATTTTTTTAAAAAATAATTTTTAATAAAGTAAATTATTTTTTGATATTAAATAGTATAATGAAAAATAAATTGAAAAACACTTTATAGTATTTGACTATGTCATGGAAAATAAATTAAAAAATAACTTATTAATATTTTATTTTTTAATTTTATTAAAACAATGAGAAATAAATCTTACAAATTAAAAAGTTAAATGAAAATAAAATTGAAAAAAATAATTTTGTAATTTATCTCAAATAAAATAAATAATAATCAAAATAATAGAAAATCAAAATAATCAAAATCAAATCTAAAAAAATAAAAAAAATAATTAACATTTCATAAATTATTTCAAATAAAATAAGTTAATAAAAAAATACGAATCAAATTTTATAGATAAAAATTTTTAATAAAAAATAATAAGAAAAAAAAGAAAATAACAATTATAAAAATTAATATAAAAATTAATATAAAAATTAAATATTAAAAATAAAATATATATAACAATCAAAAGTTTGAAAACCAAATTTGATATAATCATTAAATAATATGATATTTTTAAATTTTTTATAACTTTTATAAAGTATTTTTTATCTAAATTTTATAAAAAAATAATTTTCTGAAAATTAAATTAAATTTTTTAAATAAAAAATATTTTTTATTAATTAATTTTTTTAATAATAAAAAAATTTTAAAAATAATTTCACTGAACCACTTTTTAAAAAATAAAAATAGCATGTACATGTCTACTTCACCATGCCGGCTCTTCTTCCTAGTAAAACAATATTAAAACATTTTTTCCAAATGACCTCAGCCAGCAGCCGACACACTCTGAGGGCCTAGCTTTTAAATAGACACAAGGATGCCATGTGTACGCCAGAGAAAAGTGGACAGTCCCTTGCAAGGCAGATATGCCAGAGGAACTTCCTAGCTATATCTCTCCACGTTTCAGTGTTCTTTGACTGAAACCATCAATAAAGAGAACTTCTAGCAGTTAAAAATATTTTTTTATACATAAACATATTAAAAAATATTTTTTTGATATTAATATATTAAAAATCTATGAAAATATTAAAAAAATTATTTATAATAAAAAAAATTAAAAAAATTATTTTTTTAAACATGAAACACTATAATATTTAACAATTTTACCAATAAAATTTTTCTGTTAGCATAAAACATATATTTTAGAGGTAATTAATTTATTAATAAAATCATTAACATAATGATTTTATTGGTTATTTTTTATTTGTCGGTAAATCAATTAGTAATAAATTTTTTTATTATTAATGGATTCACTGGCGAAACAAATGAGTAAAAAAATTACTTGCTTCATTATGTAGATATATCCCTCAAAAAATATCATCTGTAATTATTTAAAAACATTTTTAAAAAATCTATTTTATAAATTTATAAAATAATTAAATTAATATAAATCAACACTCTATAGTATATACTTTCAATGCTAGGGAAAAAAAAAGGAAAATCAATTCAAACAAATTCACAACAAATAAATAAAATAAAAAAATAAATTTAACTAGAGAAAATCATATGAAAAAAATGATGTTGCAATTGCTAAAAATTTAAAAGATTTTATAAATAAATCAACTAAAAATTGATCTCATATGAAAAAAATCTCACAACAACATTTATATAGTTATTAAAAACAAAAAAAATAAAAAAAAATATAATGAAAAAATTCATGAAAAAAAAAGATGAAAAAAATCTTATCTTAATATAATTGTAAGTGAAACTAAAAAGAGAGAAAAAATTTCATAAAGCATATTAATTAAAAAAAACTAAAAGGACAAAAAAAAAGTAAGCATATCCTATCATGGAGAAGAAGATGAGGAAAGAAAAAAAATTAAATATTAATATTTTTTTATATATAGAAAAAAGAAGAAGAAGAATAATAAAAAACGAGTATTCAAGTTTTTTATTGGAGCATGTTAACGACAGTTTTATCAATAAATAATTAAATATTAATATTTTTTAATTATTCTGTCGATAATTTCATTTATAATATTTAATTTAAATTTTCAATTTTACAAAAAGCTTTCAAAAACGGCCAACAATCGCCGATAATTTTTCAATCCATCGGTGATTCTGTTTATAATATTTAAATAACAATTTTATATTTTTTAAATTTTTTAAAAAAACTATCAAATAACACTGATGACTTTTCAATTAGTCAATAATTTTATCTGTAAAGAATAACAATTATTAGTGTAATTGAAAAATAAGTAACTGGAAAGTGAATAGTTTTTAAGCTCTTTGAAAAATACTGATAAAATTTTCCATTGATAATTCCCTTTATAATTGACATGATAAATAATGTTCATAATTTATCAATGATTTTACCGATGGAATAAATTCTATCTGAAATTTTGTTGGTAAAAATAACACGACATAATTTTTTTTGTCTTATTTTAATTTTTTTATTATAATATTTTTTTGTATGTATTAAGAGAATATTTTCATTAATAAAATCTTTCAAAAATTTAAAGATAGAAATATTTTTTTTGATATTTATTAATTTTTTAGTAATAAAAATAAATTATTTAATTTTTTTAAGAGATTTAATTTAATTAGCAGTATTTTAAATTTGTCTGGCAGTAATTATCATTTCGAGTAGATTGAAGGACATAATTCCACCCCCAGACAAAGACGGATCTGAGGAGATTGATATTTGATTAGATTGTGCCTCGCTGCTATTAATTTTTAGCAGCCCTATGAAGCTCCCCTAATCTAGGAGTCTAGGGCCAGATAAGAAATTAATGTAAGGCTCCTGGGACCTATCCATCTCCTTTTGTCGCTGACACGAACACGGTGGTAAGGGTCTATGTACTGGCCGCTGTGGGAGAAACGTCAGCCATTGGTGAAAGATCGGACGGTTGGATTTGGAGGTGAGGAGAGGCTGGAGTTATGAAAAGTAGAGAGTGCTGGTGGTGGAATTGAAACGGAGCTTCGAACGGAGGAGAGGGCGGGAGCTGCCCCCTCTAAATAAGCAAACGCTATTCTTACTTTGCATCAAAGGAACTACAGTAATTAGGACAGAGATAAAAAATGTAGCAGCATCAAATGTGTTGAGAAAACTTTATTAATAATTACAAAATATATTATCTTATATTAAAAAGATTTTACATACCAAAGTTAAAAATACCAAACTCCACATAAGGAAAAAATATATTTTATATATAATAATATAAAATATATGTGAATCCTAATATATAAATTTAAATCTATATCCAATTAGGGAAGAGGTTAGGTATTAAAATAATTATAAAAAAAATGTTAGTCTTGTTTTTGTTAGTCTTGTTCTTTTTTAATCTATGGTTTTTATATAACACATAGAATTATATATTATATAAAATAATATTTTTAAATCACCTCTAACTTATTTAGTATAGTATATCATCGACACATCATTTTGCTTACCATACATCTAACAGTGCTTGATATATACTCCACGTCCAATTAAAATTAAAAATAATAAAATTACATCAGATTTTAATAAATTATTAAATTGTGCCCTTTTTTATATATAGGAGACCCTTGTTTATTATTTTATGTTATCTTTGAATAGTACTGTAGATGAAAATATTTATATCTTTTGACAAATCCTATTGATATTAAAGGACTCTTTATAAAAAAGCACCATGAATATTTATTTTTATCCATATGTATATCTTTAATATTTATCTTACATATAATAAAATCAACTCTTTAAAATAAGAATATTCCTAAAAACTACAATGGTATAAGTTAAAGTTGGTGGAGTCTTGAATTAAAAAAATAATTATTATTATATGATATTAAATCTGATGAATTAATATCAGAAGATACATAGCTGTAGAGCG